CATGTATGCCCACATGGCAGGATGAAGTTGGAAAGGAGTCACTGTCAAATGCTTCAGAACTTCTATCTCAAAGGCATTGAAAGGTAGAGAAGACCCATGATGGAGAAAGTGTACTCGTAAAAGGGGATGATGCAATCGCCATACGTGATGCATATCCTTTCATCCTAGGTGAGACTCAAGATTCCCCAATAGAAACGTGGACTAACTTCAATAAAAGCATCATCAAGACCATCGACTTTCGCAAAAGTAGAAACAATAGAAAAATATATAAAATCCACCCGAGAAAATGAAGTATCCTTATGGGACTTGTGAGTACTTTCTGTGATTTCTTGTCCATAATGCACTAACTCGATCTTGTCGCCTAACTCGATCTTCTCTCTGACAAAGTGATAGTCAATCTCAATATATTTGGTTCGCTCATGGAAGATCGGATTTAAAGCAATGTGCAATGCAACTTGATTATCACAAATAAGTGTCATTGGTCTTGCTTCTTCAATTTTAAGTTCCTTGAGCAATTATTTTAACCAAACAAGCTCACATGCCATCGCCATGGATCTATACTCTACCTCGGCCCTTGATCTTGCAACTACATTTTATTTCTTACTTTTCCAAGATATAATGTTTCCTCCAACAAGTACACACTCCTCAGAGGTGGATCATCTATCAATTAGCGATCCTGCCCAATCAGCATCGGAGTATCCAACTATCTGAGTATGTCTTTTATCTTCATACACTAAACCTTTTCATGGAGAACATTTAATGTATCTCAGAATCTGAATAACAGCATCCATGTGTTTCTGACAATGGGAATTTATGAACTGACTTACCATACTGACTGCAAAAGAAATGTTTAGACGAGTGACTGTGAGATAATTCAACTTTTCAATCAATCTTATAAACCTTTCCGAGTCTGATAGAGGCTCCCCCTGATGGGTAGTAGTTTGACACTTAAATCCATAGGAATATCAGCTGGTTTAGCATTCAACAAACTTGTTTCTTCCAAAATATCCATAGCATATTTTCACTGAGAAATCACCAGACCATCTTTAGATTGGGCTACCTCAATACCCAATAAATACTGGAGTTTACCAAGATCTTTTGTCTGAAATTGATTCGAGAGATATTGTTTCAACTAGAGTATTCCCTGCTCATCACTACCAGTTATGATAATATCATCTACATACACAATAAGATAAATACACCATTGGGCTGAGTGACAATAAAAGACAGAATGGTCAGCTTCACTACGGACCATACCAAATTGACTATAGTGTTGAATTTGTCAAACCAAGCTCTCGGAGATTGTTTAAGACCATAAAGATACTTGTGTAACCTACAAACCATATTCGATGACTCCCCCTGAGCAACAAACCCAGGTGGTTGCTCCATATATACTTACTCTTCAAGATCACCATGTAAAAATGCATTTTTGATGTCAAGTTGATGAAGAGACCAATGTCAAATGGCTTCAATGACTAGAAGAAGTCTAACAGATGCCATCTTGGCTACAAGCGAAAAGGTATCACGATAATCTAATCCAAAAATCTGAGTGCATCCTTTGACTACCAAGCGAACTTTAAATCGATCAATCTTACCATCTAGACCAACTTTCACTGTATAAAGTCAAAGACAACCTACTAAAGATTTCCCAGGGGGTAGAGGAACCAGTTCCCAGGTACCACTGCTTTGAAGAGCACACATATCATCAATCATTGCCTCCACTCAAAGTGAGATAATACTTCACCTGGAGTGTTAGAAATAAAAACAGAAGACAAAGAAGACAAACAAGTATACTGCAAAGGGGAAACACGATGATAACATAAATCAATATAATGTGGAGAAGGATTTCGTGTTTGACGTATACCTTTTTGAAGGGTAATCGAAAGATCAAAATCAGGTTGCAGGATCGGATTCGGTGATGGTGAAAGCGTCGGAGGAGAGTCTGCAATTACCTCAGGGACATGTACGGCCTCAGGAACAGGTACGACCTCAGGGACAGGTACGAAAGACGTTGGTTGACGACGCTGATATGTTTGAAGTGGACGAGAAATTAGATGGTTAACTGTAGGGTTATCTAGTGGGTCAGGTTCCCTAGAATGATGGGAGATAATGACATATGGGATTTCTAAAAGAGGTGTGGGAGTACTCTCTTGAAAAGGTTCGGAGTTACTTGGATGAACTCGAAATAAGGGACAGACTCGAAGAAAGTGACATCGACCAACATGAGCTATCTTGTAGGATATATAAATAGTAACTATAACCTTTTGAGGATCGATGATAACCAAGAAAAACACACTTTAGTGATCGAGCTGATAGTTTATCAAGACCAAGAGAGAGATTACATACAAAACATGTAGACACAAAGGCTCGAAGAGAAATTTGGTGAAGGGGGAATGGGAAAAAAGAATTGAATGAGGAATTTTATTGCTAAGAACAGATGATGGCATGCGGTTTATAAGATAACATGTCGTTAGCATAGCGTCTCCCCAAAACCGAAGTGGAACATTACCATGAAAAAGTAGAGTTCGAGTGGTTTCTACAAGATGACGATTTTTGCGTTCGACTACCCCGTTTTGTTGAGGTGTATGAGAACAAGATGTTTAGTGAAGAATACCATTACTGAACATAAAGGTTTAAAATTGTTGAAATAAATATTCATGAAAATTATCACTTCTTAAGGTACGAATAAACACACCAAACTGAGTTTTTATTTCTTTATAAAAAATTTCAAAAGTAGAAAATAATTTTGATCTATTTTTCATTAAAAATAATCACGTGCAACGTAAAAAAATCATCAATAAAGATGACAAAAATACCTGAGCTCAAGAGTAAGGATAGTACGTAAGATACCCCAAACATCGGAGTAAACTAAAATAAAAGGGGAAGAAGTGTGTTTATTGACTCGATTGAGAAATAAACTACGAGTGTATTTTTCTAACTGACATGACTCACAATGTAAATTAGATACTCTCGATAAACTTGACACCAACTTCTGTAATTTGAAAAAACTAGGATGACCTAACTGAGCATGAATTGTGAGTGAAGAATCTTTGACTGAGCATGTCTGAGATGACACTGAGAGGTAATAAAGGCCTTGAGACTCACATCTAATGCCAATTGTCTGTCCCGAACTCCGATTCTGCAGAGTGACATTACTATTAGTGGAGGTGACAATACAATCAAGAAAATGAGTTAAACGGCTGACTGAAAATAAATTAAATGGACAATTAGATACATAAACAAAACTGACAGAGAGAGAAGGTAGAATTTAAACAGTACCAATTCTTTTGGATCGGGTTTGAGAATCATTGACAGAAGTTATTGTAGGTAAGAAATCAGAGGTAGAGAGGGAAGAGAAAAGATTTTATTACCATTAACATAACCAGACGCACCAAAAATCAAGGTCCCGAGGTCCAAGAGAAGATGAGTGAGAGAAGCAAACAGGTGAATTACCAGTGTGTGCAAGCGAAGCAGTAGGATCTGAGTTCTAATGATTCTGAAACCACTTGAAGAAATCATCGTAATTTAGTGTAAAGTTCTGAGAAGTAGCCATGAGTATCGAATTTGGAAAAGTTGCACGGTGACGAGTGTGGCGATGTTAAAATCATCGGAGTCGACCGGATCGAAGAAGGCGCTTTTGTCGGTAGGGTTAATTTGCCAAAAGATCGCCGAAATTAGTAGTGGCGGATAGCAGCAGCAGTCAAGTGGTTATCGGAGAATTTTGAAAAGTAGAAGACAAACCGAGTGATCGGCACAATTTACAAAAAAGAAAAATTATTATCAAAAGACAGTGAATCAGTCGGATAAAACACGACAAAGAATTGTCTCTTAGTAGACTATAGATACCATATTAAATTAAGAGAGATTAAGAGACATTTAAGTTAGACAGTATATTTTGAAAAACACTACAAAATTTTTATTATATATAAAAAAATTACAACTAATACTATGATATAGTCGATGTGAAACTATTCTACATACAAATATTCTTAACAATATATATATATATATATATATATATATATATATATATATATATATATATATATATATATATATATATATATATATATATATATATATATATATATATATATATATATAAACACAAACCAAACGAAGAACAAAAAGGTGCACTTAAAAAACTCTCAGCACCGTGATTATATTAAGAGGCGTCACGTTATTTATTATATTGTAGTAGATATGTAAAGTAAATGGCACAGGTATACTGAAATTAAAAGGAAAAACTAACACGTTTTAGACTTTTTAATAATATAAAAACAAACTAGCAGTTCATACAGTTGTGCAACAATGTTTCTAATCACATGCAGATTTCTTGTTAAGTAATCAATTTAATCTATTAATCCAAAGCTAAAATAATTTAACTATTTGGACCAACCCCGTCTGTAAAATGCTGCCCGACAAGGATAGTTATAAAATTACAGTAATAGAAGAGATTGATAAAATCGATTCTGAATCCAAACAGTTTTCATGCTCTGTACTGTGAAGGAAAACACTCAACTTAGATCTACCTGCTAAAAATTGATCTTGTTAGCATTGACAATTGATATTTTAAAACCCCAAAACAGCGCAGCTGCAAATCCAGTACTACAAAGGAAAGAGGGGGCAAATGAGTGCCCCGTTTCAGAAAAGGGAACAGCAATTGCATTTTTTCAACATATCAAAGATATGAAACCTAGTACAAAACAATTTTTAGAATGCAACATTTTTTCCATTCTCGTTTTGGCACCAGGTAGGTTACGACTCTTATGTGCATGCAAAGTGTGCAATGCCAATTAAACCAAGAAAACATTGGTAGTTTACTAATTACCAACTGCAGCCATAAATTACACTTCCTGGGATCATCCGGTAGGGTAGCACAATATACCAATCATGAGTGAGTTCCACCGTCCACAGCTACGCAAAAAAAAAATTCTTTGTCCATTTCTGCATGGTTTGACCATTTCCGACAGTAACCCAACATCATAGCAACCAAATAGTCACATGCCAAAAGTTCTGTTGTAGATATCCCCAGAATTTGGCATCCGATACTTTGAATCATCATATCCTGGGTAAAACTTGTTAAATCCAAGTCTTTCGTTCCGCAAAAGTTCGGCAACCCCCAGACCATTCCCACTCTGCATCTCATTCCACCCATTCCATTGGCCATTAGAAAAGACTGCATTTGTAGACTGCTGCATAGACAGCTGAGGGAAAGGGGCTAAGTTACTGACTTGAGATTGATCTAACCTAGAAGAAATACCATATGAATCACCAAGTTGAGAATAAGTATTCCCAATTTCAGGAAATCTATGGTTTTGCTGCTGTGAGAGAGATCTTTGCATCAGGAACTGTAGTCTGGCTTCATTGTCGAAGTAATTATTTAATTGTGGATTGAAATTTGATCGCATGTCCAATGATTGGCTGTTTTGCGCACCTTGAAGTCTCCCCTTGCCAACAACTGCCAAAATAGCTGGATCCATAAATTCAATGTCGCCTGTGCCACCAATATTTCCAGCTGAGAGCGTTTGATGTGAATTTCTCAAAAAAGAAGAATGATCAAGTAAGGAATTCCCTGTCAGAAGTTTAACAATTGTATTAGACCAACATAAGAAAAACAGGTGAAAGTTATAAAAGAAACCACAACTAACCAGATAGGGAGTCAAAAGTCTGCTCTGATCTCTCATGGGAAGAAAAACCAGGAGGCGGCAGCCTGCTTGGAATTGAAAAACCTGGCGGAGCTGAAACTTGTGCTCTTGAAATAGCTGTTAATTATAGCAAAATCAAGGTCATCAGATGAAGAACTGAGACAACTTGAAATGAAATAACACACCAGGCGACACATATAGAGAAGGCAAAATGTAGCCAGAAGAAAGCAGTTTAACAAGTGTTAAAACCTTGAACAGAATAAATCAGGCAACAGCTTCAGTACTTGCAGTCAATATGCTAATTTAACTTGATTCTTCTAAAGTTGACAACAAGCCAGGCTACAGTTTGTTAACATTCTCATTTATGCAACACAAGTTCATTCCACTGTTGAATTTTACTACCCGGCAATTAGTTCAATACAAAAGTATGGTATAGTTTTCCTAAAAGTAGAGGTATTTTTTATCACAAATCACACTCAAGTCATTGCATCATTTCATCCACCCTACTTGGATCCTGGTTGGCATATCCCTTTATCTCTCCATTGTTTTGTATGATGGACCGAAGGTACTTGAAATGTAAAACTTCTGGTGTGAATGTTCTTCAGTTATCACCTCTATATATTAGAATCTGTATGTCCTTTGCTAAACTTACATTCTATATATTCTATTTTACTTCTACCTGGGTAAAACTCAAAAACCATGTGTTTCCATGGCTTGCCTTTTGTTCTATCTTTTCATTAATCCCTACTTATTTCTACTAAAACTACATCATCAGAAGAAAAAAAATGCTTCATCTAGAACCAACAGAAAATAACAGGAAGTTAAACCTTAGTGCAAAACTATAGCTATAGTTATTACGTAAGAATCTTCTATAATTCCATCTTGTGTTCTTTCTTGCACTAGTTGTGACACCATATCCTTGATTGCTAGTACATCAGCAATCTAAACAGTTTTCTTCTCAAGGCTAAATAAAACATTTAATAGACTTCTCTAGGTATTATCATTTTTTTCCTACTTCAATGAAACCCATGTGCATGTACCTTGAAATCCTCTAATCTACATCAACTTTTGTAGCATGAATTGTGTATATAGCTAGCATGTCAACCTCTATGGCATTAAATCAAACTGATTTCTATGAGTAGTTTCTTATTTTATTCTCTACTCGATCACTCTATCAAAACTTCTTAGTATTACTTAAATTGATTCCTTGATAATTTCTGACGTTTCGCCTTTATTCTTAAAGATCATCCATCCAATTTGGGATATTCTTAGAGCTTGTAAATGTGAGACTTCTGGCTCTCTTTCCTAACCTTTTCCATTTCTCAATAGGTAAATTATCTAATTTGATAGTCTTACCATTATTCATTTTCTGAACACTTCTTTTTCACCTTAAATGCTGAAATTCTTCAATAGTACAAGTAATTTAGATCCACCTCTCTAATTTGAGTCTGTTTGAGGTCGGAATACTGATGACTTTCAATAAATATGGAATAACCTTTCCATGTTCCATCTTTCCTTGATGTCTTGCATTGTAGCGTATACTTTTCCCTCTTCATCCTTCATGAACTCCACCTAGTTCGAGTCTTTTTTTCTCTTTCTACTTTAACAAGCTTGTAAATACCCCTTCCCCTTCATTACTATCTAAGGATTTGTACTATATTGAAATAATAAACATTACATTCAGCAACAGGAAGTCAAAATTTGCAGAATATTCTCAATTTTAGAAGCACCAATGAATTAAATGCGTAAAAATAATATAAAACCAAAATCTGGATAAAAAATTATAACAATGTCGCACAGAAGAAAATTTCTAAAGATTTTACTCAATCCTTAGGTAGGCACTGCACAAAAGCATTTAGTGAGATGTCAATAATATATAAATAAAGCTACTGTAACAAGTTCAAGAAAGCTAGGAATACTCACCAGAAAGCTTATTGGAAGAAGCAAGTGAATGAGCACTGCTTATATTTTCAGCTTCCTCAAAGTTACTAGAAGGAAAGCCATTTGCAATGCCCAACTTTTCCATATAAAAGTCTCTTTCTGCCAGATTCTGATTGAGTGTGTGGCTCTTGGGCTGTTGCTGGCTAAAAGCATAAGACGGATGCACATCCAAAGTTTGAATTTCAGATTCTTCCTGTCTTGCAAAAGAGAACCTTGACTGGTTATTGTTTTGAACTTTCCAAGAACTAGATTTTTTTAAAGGACCGGGCTGGCTATCAGTATTGTCAGTCAACAGCTTCACTATATTATGAGGTGATGTAAGGGAGTCATCCCATGGATCAAAATCAATCGACAGAATATTTGAGATTATATTACTTTCACCCTTATCAATTGCCACATCACACCCGGTATTAACAGCATCCCCAACCAACCTTCCAATGCTTTGTCTGTTTCTTTCATCATGAAGCAAACCATTAGAGGAGCCACTGATCAATTTCTCAGGATAGCCATTACATAACATGCTAGACGAATGTAAAATAGATTCATCCCGAACTCTATCATCAGAAGATAGAGAACCAGCATTTCCAGCAGTACAAGGTTCGCCATACGGCATTAGACAAGGGCTAGAAAGTTTTGATACATTAAGGAAATTTGTTGCCTTAGGCAAATAAGAACGACAAACTTCTGGATCCTTGAGTCTTTGATTATCAAAAGATGTTACATCATCTTCAATATCAGCTGTATCTGATAATACTTGAGATTGAGACTTCAATATACCACCACATTGTTCCTTTAGACTAAAAATCCCACTATCTGATGTGGAAGTTTTACCAACCACATTTGTTGTTATTGGGTCTTTAAATCTGTCAACATCATATTGTGATCCTTCTTGAATTTGAGGAGATTTAGACAAGACGTGATCAGTAGGCCGGTTACTAGGTTTGGTTATACCATAGTTTTCAATTGAGGAACTTCTACCAATGTTAATTGAGGAGAACTCACTGGACAGATTCCGGATCACTTCACTGGTAGCAGGCACTGCTTCCTCGGGACCAGAGTTAAAAGAATGTCCAGTGATGTCAGTAGAATTTAATGTGTTTGCTATAGTACAATTGCCTCTATCATTATCTCGTGATAATGGTCGAGAAGACAGCTCACTCTTCAAATTGACAGGTGCGGGAGAAACAGGACAAGCTGAAATTTTTTCACCTGCACTGGTCAGACTGTCATTGCTATTATATTGTTTAATAGGTTTTGGCAATTCACTTTTCACCCTAGGTAATGTATTATGACTCCCATCACTTGATGGCGGCCTCCTTGAACCATCACCCTGTGCTGCAGAAGCCTGAATTGTTCCCGTAACAGCAGTAGAAAAGGCAAGTGTGCTGTTAACTGTATCAGGCTTTGGCTTGGACAAAACAGATGGGTTTGATAGACCTCCAGCAGGGGGCAGACAACTTGTAGCCTGAGTACCCCTGGCACACATAAACGTTGGAACCATAACTTCTTCAGATAAGTGTAACATTCAAGGCCAAATACAGAATTATAATGATACGTACCATGCAGTACTAGTGGAAAGAGGTACATGTTTCCCATTGATTCCATTTGGAGGCGAACTTCGCACTGTGTAGACAGAGTTCTGCTCCATAATTAAAATAAAATGTCAGTTTCTTTGTATTCTAAGCTGGAATAATAGCAATCAAAACAATAAGTTAAACCCAAAACTAGAGGGACTGTAGGAACATGCAAAAAAGACTTACAGTTGGAGCACTTTTAATAATGGGCCTTTCTGTCGAATTATCTGTGCAATCATCCAGAGGAGGAGGTAATACAGTCCCCGACCGCCGTTGCATATTAGTTGTGGCACCAGTGATTTGTTGAACTCTACTTCTTCAAAATAACAAGAAAATTAGGGTATATTTATTTGGCACTACATTCAGTTCAAGCAATAATAATGTGCAAATCAGAAAGCATGATCTGAAACACGGATTAGAACAAGATTTGATTAATGTAAAGTGATCTCATCAAAACTCAGAACACATGTTTCTCATCACAATGCAAGTATAGCAGCCTTCTTCATCTTATTTAATTAAGCAACTCAATTGAAACAGGCAAAATCACCTATTTTCAGCCAGAAGGATTTTATATATCTGAATTATAGCTAGTCTCATAACAAAATTTATAAGAATATTACCTAGTGTAAGCTGATATTATTTCATCTTTTGTAAAGCTATCTTCTTGAGAGCCAACCTCGTGCAGATATAGACAATCAGGGTTGATGCAAGGCTGGTCATGGAGATTACTACTCGATTAAAAGCATAACCAGTTAAGGCACAATTTAAAAATCACTAAAGACCTACTAATTTCCATACCGAATTTCGGAGCCATGCATGACAATATTTTGTGGTTCCAAAACAAGCCCTGAAATGTACAAGCCAAAAACAACAATAAAATTAATAAGCTAGACTAGGAAATGAGTAAGACATGTCAAAAAAAGAAGCTATTTTTACCTTAAGGGTTTACCCTCCAAAACAAATCCATGTACATTTTGAATACACTGAATTGCTTCCTCTTCCTTTAAATAAGTAATATATCTGAGATAAAACCTTGATTAGAAACTGTATCATTGATATTAAATGTATTACACAATGATAGTCAAGCAAGCTGAAATAGCACTGAACAGTTTCTTTATTTATAACTAATGAATTTAAACAGCATTTTTCCTTCATTTATAACTAATGAAATTAAAAATGCATTTGAAGTGCTTTTGCAGGTCATAAGCTTCCTTCCTTCCCAAAAGCTCTATAAACAGACTCCTAACTATCCAATCTATCTAATCACACCAAAATAAAACAGTAAAAGAAGTTTATTTAAAGTAGCAACCAATATGGCCAACTAACAGAAAAAGATGGTGCCAAAAGGAAACAGCTATGCCAAAAACTTAAAGAATGTGCTTACACACTGCAAGTATCATTAGGAAACTGTTGAATGACACCACCTGCCGTCCGTGACATTGACACTTTTAAGACCTTCCCATACTGACCAAAATACTCTCGCTTCTGGAGAAGCTGCAAAAATGATGATATGATTAAGGATCCTTTAAGGACGACAAAGCAAAAAACTCAACAAGAAAAGGAGGTAAACAGAAACGTTCAAATAATCAAAGAGCATAGAAGGTAAAAAAAATTACATCTTCATCTGCCAGATCCAGAGGCAATCCAACTATGTAAACAAGGTTTCGCTGAATCACTCGCACACTACTGAGCTGCTTCCGTCCATCAGCAGATTTAGATTTTGCTTTTTGATTCTTCACCTTTTTCTCCATATTAATTTCATTCAGCAATCTACAACATATATATACATACATATTATATTGACACACGTTAAGAGAAATACACTATGAAAATGTCTATGTTGATTTAAACAGTCTACAATTGGCCTTTGTATAAATACCTTAAAGAAATCTAACAAATAAAAAGATCAACAACTTATATTTTTCTTTCATAGCACTTCAAACAAAAAAGTTTTAGCAATTTTACAACATTCCCAAGCCAATATAAATATACTGTTAACAGACTGACCTTTCACACTTTGACGCCGTCCCAACAATCTTTTCCTTATCATAAGGAGAACGACAAGCAGGGCATCGCCCATCTGTATCATCCTTCTCAGCCATGTCCATTATGTGGTGCCAACACCAGACACAGATCTGCAATCAAGTGGATGTGAAACTGAAATTCATCATAATGAATCATATAAAGACAAACAAAACATCAACAACATCACCTACAAGACTATCAGGAAAAGAAATCAAAATAAACCTTGACAACAGTTAAAAAGATCAAGATTCAATCAAAGAAAATTTTATGAACCAAAGAACAAGTGACACTTAAATATTAACATTATTAGCTACTCCACATAGATAGAATCAAACCTCATAACCACATCGACAAGGTTTCAACTGCTGATCTGTCAAATCCATCTCTTCTGCGCAGAGAGGACAGGTCCTTTCTCCTTCATCACTCATGATTTCCGTTAACAAAAACTGGGAATACCACAAAACACGCACATGTCAAAAACATTCACACTAATCATAAAACAATTTGCATCATAAACTTCAGCCTGATCACCTTAAAAATTGGATAAAAAACACAAAGCCAGTTATTAACTCAATAAACTATTTTGCCCTAAAAATCATCACCCGCCACTCATATAGCAAATTCACAAAAAAAGTTCAAATTCTATTTAAATTGTTTAGCATCAACTTTATGGATACTGATACCGTGAGCAATATCCAATGAAAACTAACGCAGTTTAAAAAAAAAAAGGTAAATTTCGATCTTAAATATAATTATAACAATCATTATAGTATCAGCAGCAGCAGCAGAAGGTAAATTTCGATCACAAATCCAAATCCAGATAAAACCTGAACTCAATAACAGTCTCCCCACTGTTGCAACATTTGATTGATAAACAAAAATATTAAATCTATTATAAAAAAAAAATTCAAATATGCATTGAAATACGTCGAACCTAACGCGCCACATATCAACTAAAAAACCAATCAGAATCAAAGATATATATATATATAACGATCAAGAAATTGACAATAGAACAAGAGAATCAAAACCGATTACGCAAGAATAAATAACCAGACAGAAAAAATCTCTAGGGATTAAGCGGAAAATAAAATCGATGGCGTGAAAAGCAAAGATAAATTATAAATTCAGAATCAAATTAGGGATCGAAGAAGAAAAGAAACAAATTAGGGTTACGAATTGAGAGTCGAAGACTAACAGTGTTGAGATCGAGACGAAACTGTGAGGAGGAGATTGTTTGAGGAGAGAAGCGCACGATAACACGAAGAGAGAGAGAGGGGTAAAGAAGGGCAGAGAAAAATCACAGGGTGGCTTTTAAAAGAGAGAGAGAGGGTGCTGTTTGGATGATGGTGTTTTCGGGTTTTGGATCTTTTCTCCCTCTTTTTTTAATGTAAAGGAGAATTTAGTAAATAGCCTCGAATATTTTGTTAATTACAATACTACCCCCATTAACTTTTATTATTCTTATTTTCTAACTCTCTCCCTTCAGCTTTGTCGAGCAACCCAACTGGTTCTGGCTAGTGTTTTACTTAGTTCTCTGAATTACACGTACGCTTTGTCCAATGCATTGGTGGCTTCAGATGGTTGACACGTGGCCTTAAGTTCGATCCTATGAATGCTAAAAGAATTGTTTTTTAAATTTGTATACATAGTCAAATACAACAATTATTTTAAAATAAAAAGAATGATTAAAAAGTCAAATGTTTTTATCTAGATTTTAAATTAAATACATTTGATTTTTTTATATTGATTTAATTTATTTGTAATGGAGAAAAAGTATTATTATTTAATTTGTTTATGTATTTTAGTTATATTTTCTAATTAAAATAATTTACATGATTTTGAATTTTTTATTTTTATTTTGTATTTATTATAATGATAGTAATAAAGATAAATTGAAAAAATATATATTTTTTAAATTATTTATTTTTCAATATATATTACATAGTCAAATACAACAATTATTTTGAAATAAAAACATAAATAAAAAACTCAAATGTTTTTATCAGCATTTTAAACAAAATTTGATTTTTTTTATATTGGTTTACTTTATTTGTCATAAAATAAAAGGTATTATTATTTAATTTTTTATCTATTTTAGTTATATTCTCCAAATAATATATTATATATAATTTTTTTTACTACCGTCAATTATCATTAAACCAACTAAAAATATATATAATTTTGAAGTTATTATTTTTATTTTGAGTTTATTTTAATAATAGTGCATCAATAATTAATAAAAATGAATTGATAAAAATATAATTGTTTATCTTTAAAATATGTATTTTTTATATGTATTACATAGTAAAGTATAACAATTATTAGAAAATAAAAAATGTGAATAAAATAATCTAAACAGTCAAATGTTTTTATCTACGTTTTAAATTAAATTAATTTAATTTTCATATTTGTTTACTTTATTTCATAAAAATAAAATATATTATTATTTTAATATTTTATAAACTATCATAGCATAGTGACATATTAATTTAATGGCGTATAACAATTTTAAAATGATAATATAAAAAAATTGTTATTAATATCAGAAAAAAATTTACACTTTGATGATGACTGAAATACTATGATAGAACATTGTTCTTATGGTTTTTAGCCAAACTTATTGAGTGTAAAGTTATAAAAATTTTAAGAAAATAATTTATTCTTGAAAAAGTTTAGTGACAAAATATTAATTTTGTAACACCAAGAACGAAGTTTAAATCGACTTAAAATTGTTGTTGATGTCACTTTCATTATATAAAAAAACTCCTTCCCACTTAAAAAATAAAATAAAAGAAAGAAGTTAATCTTATATAAAAATGTATAAGATTGCACATGATGACATTGATTGGTTAGGAAACCTTTTACTAGCATATGTTGACATAAATATTTGTTTAATATTGTATATATTTTTTTAAATCTAAAAGTTAGTTGAATACCTTATTATCATTGGTTCTATAATATTTTTATCTTTACTTTTCAGTCAAATGACATTATCTAAATAATCAATTCATATAATAAATTTTGCAATATATTATTAGGTCAAACATAAAAAATAATGTGAATGAGTATATTTATATTTAAATATTAATAGAAAATATTAAATAAAAGAAACATTTAAAATTTTAAACAAAATTGATTAAATAAATATAAATATATCATATTATAATAATATATTCAAACTTACTTGGTCAAATAAATAAATTTCAATGTACAAAAATAATTAGACTCTATCCAATTTTAAATATAAGACATTTAAAATGAATTTGGTCAGAATTTTGATGAAAAAAAACTCATTTTGACTTGTTTATGTTAAAATAAGAGAAAGTGCATTTATCGTATAAGAAAAACTCAATAATAATAAAATTTAACTACAATTTTAGTTCTTAACCAAATACATTTATGTTTTAGTTGTTATATTTTAGTTTATTTACAAAATTTGTATTTTTTTTATTTTAAATTTAAACAATTTTGATGTTATTTTATATATTTGTATTTATGATTAGTTTTGTGTTTATTTATTAACTACGTGTCATTTGTTGTTTGTTTGAAAGATAAATAGATAGATAGATAAATATCTTTAGAAAATGTATTGAACATCTTTGGTCGTTTGAGCTATCTTCAACAGACAAGGACTTCACTAGATATTATTTGATATCATGTGTTGTCATCATTATTAAAACCAAACAATTAATCAGCTGATTGTTGCTTTGGTAAACTCCATCAATCAGTAAATTAATTTATCATATATACTTCGAATCCCACTGACTGCAATTTATGTTTTTACTTCATTTAAACTGACGTCTTTCTTTTATTTTATTTTTTATTTAAATATTAGTTACTCTATTCATTCAGTTATTTTAATAATCGAGGGGTGTAATATCCAACTTTAACTATAAAGGGATTTGTTTACTTAGTAGTACCCTAAACTTAACTCATATATGACCGCTTCGTACTCATAAACATATTCTTTAGGATTATTTGCAAGACAAAAAAATAATTTGGTTTTATATTGTTTTTCTTCTAACACCAACCTTCAACAAAACATTTTCCTATTTTTATAATATATTTTACATAATGGTGTTAGTTTTGTTGTTGTTGTTTTTATTTGTGGTGTTGTTGTTCCACCTCTTGTCAGTAATGAATGGTAAAAAAAACATTGTTGTATTTTGGATAAGTTTCAAATGTTGTATCTCAAAGAAAACATTCAATAATATATTATTTTATTTGACTGACAATATTGAGACATTTATTTCTAATCATACTTCAATTTTGTTGTTTCACAAGACAAGATATTGAAAATTTTATTTAGAATATAGTCTTTTGTTTGAGTATTGTATCACATAAAGAAATTATTGAATGATAAAAATTGATAAAGGAAACAATACATGTTACTTTTATTTTTTTCCATTCACCATTTTTTTTTTGCAATTGAAATAATCTGTTACCTCAGTGTTTTTAAAAACTGAAGGGAAAACTCCCTATTTTATTTAAATTTTTATTTTAAAAATAAAAAACCTTATACCTTGGTTTTTAAAATTAACTGAAGGATAAAGTAAGTTAATTTATTGAGTTTTTTTATCGTCCATAAATAAATCTTTATCGTCCATTTATATAGGATCACCACTCTTGACATTGATATCACATTAATCCATAAACAACATTAGTGTTTTGTGTGAAATTGTCACAACAACCATTGAGAATATGAACGCCACAATATATATCGCAATCACATACAATTTGAATCACAAATATTGGTAATGAAATAGTGAAATTTTAAGCAGTCTGAAAATAGTCTTTCTGATGGGTTGCAAGAATAGAAAATAATATTGATTTAAGGTTTGTGTTCTTACATAATATCTTGTCTTTATACATGATAAATTTGTTTTTTTATCTAACATTTGTTAACTATATATAGCATAAACAAATCAATGAAAAATCATTGAGAATATATTGCTATTGTAGTATTATATTTACAGATGCTCTAAACCAGGACACCCTTGCTCGAGAGTCTAGTAATGCATAACCTAAGATGAACATGCCTTAGGAGGACGCCTAATTATAGCAACTAGACGAATCAAAATCATTATATCCTACCTAGAAGGATTCTTTGGCATTTGTAATTTTTTACAATTGTCAAGTGTTCAAGGTTCTAAGTTTTTGAAAATCCTAAAACTTTACTATAAAAGTCTAATAAATGTGTCACTTCAAATTACACACTATTTTAACTCTAAAAATATATCACTTTCAACTGTCACTAACTTGTGCGGCAAAGCGTTTACATGTACCTTCCTTTTCAAAGAATAATTATATTCTTAAAATTTTAAGTTGTCAACAATGAAAATTTAAAATGACATCTTACAATATTTTTAAGTTAAAAGTAAGAGATTAATTGTTATGTATTGTTTTTATTATGGTAAAATGTTTTATACGGTGAATGTATCACCATCATTCATATGTGATATTTTAAATGTGATTAAAATAAAATAAAAAGCAAACACTCTCAAGAATCTTACAGTAAAAATTAATTGAAAATGTAAATTATTTTTACACGTACATACCATTAAATCCTTAAAAAAATTAAGCAATTAATAAAATATAAAAATAAGTGCATAATTACACACACATTTTTATATAAATAATTTATTGAGTTAATACTTATTTTGGCCTATATAACTTGACGCAAGTCTAAAAATAGATCTTTTAAAAAAAAGTTATATATTTTCCCTTTAGAGTATCTCCAATGGTGCTACTCAACTATGGATTCTTTGTGGAATCCATTAAGCCACGTCAGTTTGAAGTAACTCAACTAGTTTTTCACTCTAATGATATATTTCTAAAGAACTCATATTAGGTCTCACAACTTTACTTTATATATTAATATTTTATTTATATTAAATTTTATTTTAATTTAAAAAATAAAATATTATATGAAAAATGAAAAATTA